CATTCATGAAAAGGATTGTGCCCATATAAAAGAGGCTGAGAAAGACCCCTGGCCCTTCTGTCACATGAGGGTAGAGTGAGAAGGTGCTATCTATGAGAAAACGGGCCCTCTCCACACATTGAATCTGCCAGCGCCTTGGACTTGGACTTCCAGCCTCCAGAACTGTGAGAAATAAATTTCTGTCATTTATAAGCCACCCCATCTATGGGATTTGGTTGAAACAGCCCCAGTGGTCTAAAAGTCGGTATTATTTCATTTATACAACAGTCTGGAGAGGCAAATCTATGGGGTTAGAAAAGAGAGCAGTGGTCACCAGAGGTTGGCAGGGTGAGGGGAAGGGGGAACAATTTGACTACAAAGGGGTAGTACAAGAGAAAAACTAGATTCAATGAAACTGTTTTGTGGTCATTACATGAATATATGCATACATTGAAACTCATATAACTCTATACCAAAAAAAGCCAATTTTACTGTAATAAAGTTTTTAAAATAATACATAAATCAAAGTTAAAAAAGAAAGACTAGGGTAACAGAAAGGAATTTATTGTGTTGGCAGATTGTAAACCTCAGAGTTAAGACAGTTCAATATATAATTTATTTATTTATCAATGTCTCAGGAATTTATTAAGCAGTTTATACAAATGAAGACAAGTTATAAATACCTTGCAATGAATATTTTCTCATATATCTTTGGAAGCTCCTTCTAGAAATATTGGTACGAAATATTGTTCCAATGGAGCTTAGATTTCAAGAGATGAGCTGTCTTTTTGCTTACAATTACACCATTTTTATTCCTCCATGAAATCCTTGTTATCATATCTTGACTAATTTTCATGCAAGAAAAGAAATATTTTTATGCTGGCAATTCACCTGACTTGAAGGCAAATCAAGAATATATTAGGCCTATCCACAGGAAAGGTACACTAATCCCTGAATTATATACTAATCACGAAAGCAAGTGGGGAATGGCCCAGGGATAAGGCAACTTCTGCCCTCACTTTCCACCTCATACTCTGTTTCTTATTAGCTCTTCCTCAAGGGAGAAGGAATTTAGGAAAAGGAACCTGATTGCTCAGAGTCTAGAATTCTTTGGGTGGAACCATGGCACTGAAAAAACACTGGGATTTGTGAACATATCCCCTTTCTCTTCCTGGAATTGGGCCAAGAAATATCCTGACATTCCCTTGTGTATTTTTTCACCTTTACTGCCAATGGCCAGTGGTCTTTCTTCTTGTTCCATTTTGACGTTGTCTGTAAATTAGTAATAATTCCTTGATATTTCCTCACAATACCAAGAGCACTGTATTAGAAGTATAGAACTCCTCCCAGAACTGTTTTTCCTCCTGAATGGAAGATATTGCCATATATACAGTCTAAATAACCTGGATCAGTTTCATATCATGGGGACGAATATATTTCTCCGTACTGGTTGTATGCTTCTTAGCTTTCTCATATTGCTCTTGAAATTTTCTATCTTCAGCTTATTGGGATGGGAGGAGAAGGAATAAAGCAATTTAGGAAAAGGAAGCAAGGGGCCTCATTTTGGTCTTTAGCCAAAGTCATGTAGCCTAGCTTAGTTTAACTTCTATTTAGGTATATGATACTTAAAGAGAAATTAATATATATGTATACTTTATATCTCATTTAACCATTAATAATTTTGTATAGCTCCTTTAAAGGGAAGCATAAATAAGTGATGGGCTTTAAGTAATTAAGTCCTTAAAAAATTAGTAGTCATGCCCCTTACCTTTAAGGGGTTTGAAAACTGGCATGCACTAAATTAAAACTCTCCTAAATTATAGTTGATTTAATAATTTAAAAAAGAAGAAAAAATAGAAGTGAACTGCTGTCCGCCCTATGCAAACTGAAAACAACCAAAATACCCTGTCCAACTTAAGCTGTATTCTTTACAATCTATAGACCAACTGAAACAAGAAAATGTAAGTATATGTTATGCCACATGATAAAACTGAATCCTAATTAGGGCTAATAAAGTCTCATTCTAATTCTCCCTCATTTCATTGTACTTCTGAACTAGAACTTGTTCTACAAACATCTGTCAGTTTTCACCTTTGCCTTTAAGGTAAAGAGCCATGAGAATCATTCAAAGGCAGGCCAATCATCTGAGGGAAGTTCAGAACCATACCTCAGGGTTCTCGCTCTCCTGCACTAAAATCCAAAAAAGCTACAACATATTTTAAAGGCCACAGTACCCACTGACCCAATTTTATGAATAGCTCCTTGTTAATTTATTGTTATATTCATCTTGGCTTACATAACACCCTTTTAATAATTTTGGAGTGATCTTAGCACATGACCCTGTTTCTTCCCTTTCTGAGTGTTAGGTTAGCTTGGAGGAAAGGGATGGGAGTGGATTTCCTTTAACTATTATAAAACATCTGGATTCCCAGATTATTACAGAGATTTAGAAAAGCAATAGGCAAGAAATAAGGTTGCAGTGCTGAAAATCTGGTGGAATCAAAAGCAATTCATTGTACTACTTTTCTTTGAGAATAATACACATCACTATATGAATTAGAAAACAAATGATCCATAGATGAGAAAGTAAGTTGACATAATATTTTAGCACCCTGTTTTTGTCCCACAGTGCTTATGATTTTTCAAGAGAACCCCAAAATTGAAGAAGTGATGCAAAAAAAATGTTTTCCCAGAGGTTTTTGTATCTATCCCATCCAGGTCAATTTATGCCATCTCTGACAGTTATGAATAACTTCTACTTTCCATACAGAGCAAAACACTAATACAAAACTTGAAAGCAAAATGGAAAAGTGAAGTCCTGTCCAAATTGTGAGCTCTTTAAACCGAGCCAGTCCACTCCAGAAATTCACCGTTGTTCATTACACTAGCCATCCACTCACAATCTTGCTCTTAGAAAATGCCTAGGTAACCATAACTCTTGGACAACACCATGTTTCTCCCCTCCTTGGAAAGGAAAGGATATGCTGAGTCTCTAGCTACATCTGACTTTGGACCACAAAGCATCTACCCCTGAAACTGACAAGATGTGTTGTCAGGAAGAAAGGTTCTGGGAGAAAAGGACAAGATATGAGGTCAGAAAACTCCATTTGAGACTGACAAGATTATCTGGAACCAGCCTCCCTGGGGATGGTAGAGTAGGATGATTGATATTCCTTAACTCCTAGGGTAATTAGAAGATCAAATGAGATAGCTGCATGAAACTGCTTTATTAAGTGTTACCTGCTGTATAAATGCAGCAAAGAGCTAGCTGTTTTCCAACTTCTTTGTTCCAGTGTTGATGGAATGTCCTTCACTATATGGAACAATTTTCTCCCTTGAGTTATTTGGGATGGGCATGGGAAGAGTTCCTGGGTATTCCTTTAAGGCGTTCCCCTAAGAACTACTGCGTGTGGTAAAGCCAGAGCCCACAGAAACTCATCCCTCCCTCCCCAGCTGGCATCCTGAAAGGGAGGGGGAGGGGACTGATTTCCTCTTCTCAAGTTTTGTTAATTGAATTTTTTGAAGTCCAGACTCCATTCTTCCCTTTAAGAAAACGCATTATGTCTTTTCTCCCCAGCCATTTGAGGCCCATGACCGCAGCAAATGCATGCCAGTCTTTCAAGTTAAAGACCCCTGTAACAAAGCTAGAGAGTTCTAGGCCCCTCTAGCCTTCCCCACTACCTGTTTTCTACGGCAGTCTTTAACGAAAACAGACCCTAAAATGTATAAAAGAGAAATACTTTGGATCTACTCCTAGGAACAGCGTCGGAGGTTCACAATGACCACGCTTTTCCCTGCTTCCTCGCTTAGCCTGGTCTCCCTGATACACATCCAGTAGGGTGGACTCAAATGCCCAGGCATGCACACGCTGGTAAGCCGGTCAACTGCAGACAAATCCGACTCTTCGCCAACTTGTACCCACGGAGAGCAGCAAAGGGACCAAGGTCCTTCACTGCCTGCTCCAAAAAGACACTGCAACCTCCAGCGGCGCCGCAGTAGCTGCCTCTGTGCTGCAGCCTCCGGCCGGAGTGTCAGGGCTAATTCCTTAAGGAGTATCGCTCCTCTGCCCTTCGTCCTACTCCCCTTGGCTTTGCCCACTTCTCCTCCTTTTCCTCGGAAGGCCAGGAGGACCCGGGTCACTTTGCGAATTCTGCGGAGGGGGAAGTAGCAGTGAAGGAGATTCCCACGCAAGTAGCCCGAAGCCCACTACACTCTGCCCCACCGCTCCTCTCTCTCGCCCGTGTAGGTGCCCGTGCTGCTGGCGAAAGTCCCAGTTCTCAAGGCGCCTGAGCTCGGATGGGGTGTGGAGGAGCTAGGCGGGAAGAGGAGCAGCGGGACGAGTACGAGGAAGGGCTGGAGGGTGTTAGAGGACAGCTGAGGCGGGACCGGGGAGAGGGGCGAAGGCGACGCGCCGAGGCACTTCCCCGCCCCCGAACACACACAGGAACTCCGAAACGCGCAGAAGGGCCGTAAGGTAAAGGCCTTTTCTCCCTCTCCTCTGGGTCCTCTACCCTGCTCCCCTCCTGGACACCTGGTGAAAAAGCAAGGTGCGGTGTACCTGGAGCGAACACCATGATTTCCTGCAGCCGCTACGCCCCTAGATTAAAAGACAAAGACGGGCAGACGGAGGATGGGAAAAAGGCCGGACTTGGCGGCGTCCTGTGCAGGAGGGCGCGCAGGGCTGGCAGCGGGCAGCGGGCGGCTGGGGGCGGGCGGCGGGCGGTGGACGGGACGGTCAGCACCCCGGACAGCTCCCGCCGCGAGATCCTGGGGCCGCAGCTCCCGCTTCTACCGCGAGCTCTGCCTCCACAATGCACCTCTGCGCCCGCGGCCGACGCGGCGGTGGGAGGAGAGCGACTCCCCGCTCAGTCCATCCCTCATTCCTGTGCCAGCTCGGCGGCGTACACCGCTGCTTAGGGAGCAAAGCACTTCTACCGCTTTCACGCGACGAGGAAGGACGGAAGAGGAAGGCAGAGAAAGGCAAACTTCCCGGCAGGGGACAGTTAATTGCTTTTAATTACCTGCTGTCGCTCTCTCCCGTGGATATTTCACTGACATTTAAAATAGGTTTGAAAAAAAAAAAAAACTCTTGAGAGCTTTCTTTACTCTCGAGGATGACTCTGAGTTCTCCGAGTTGGCTGGCTTGAACAGAGGGGCAGGGCTGCCAAGTTAATAGGTCCTAGAGGTCGGTGAGTCCTTTCTCGCGAGTCCCAGTCCTCTGATAACGTCAGGAAGAGAGCCGTAGGAAAGGACAGAGTAACTATGGAGCTCTCGAGGAGTGTGCCACTGAGGAGGACGCCACTATCATGCCCCACTCCCAGGTGGCAAATCCGGCTCTGAAAGGTCCTAAGCTTGAAGGTCATCACTTTTAAAAAGCTTGCCAGGGCAGAGGAAAGAGAACTCATACACTTTTCACAAGGATGAGCCAACAGAGCCCCCTGCAAGTGTGAGAACAGCCCTGAGATCAATCAAGGAATATCAATTCTTCCCCTGTCCTTACCCAGCTGAAAACTGTCTTCATCTCCTTCCCCCACCAGGCACTCAGTTCTACCTTAAAGGTACTGGGACTGCCTCATGCTCACTTCATGCTCCTAATCCATTGTTCATTTTAGGTATCTATTACCTAAGTAATATTTGTGCAGTGTGCACAGCCCACACTAGATGTCATCCAGCTTGAAACAGGCCCATGTGGGTTACAAACCCAAAGCTAAACCCACCCAGAATCTTCTAGCCTCCCCCCAGTTTTTCCAGCTAAATATGGTTTTCCAAGAATAAAGATAATCAAGGTCATCTCCAGTGTTTTATGGTTTCTTCACTTGCAACTATCTCTGGAAAATATAACTATTCTGAAAATTAACTATTTCTTAATAATTGGTTGATGGCCATAAGCTCTACAGTCTTTTGGCAAATATAAAGCATCAAAATAGCCTTATTGGCACTGGTTTTGTTCAAAGCCATCTGATAAAATGAAAATGCAAATAGTTTTACAGCTTTTGAACTACAGTTTGCAAGGAGGCATATGGACAGCCTCAACATAATACAATCAGTACTGCTCTTAGCACCTGGTTCAACACAGGCTTGAACATATGGGGCCTTCCCCAGCAGCAACAAGATGCAAGTCAGCTGATGGGCAGGATGAAGTGTGTGCATGACAGGATGGAGTTCTCCCATTTTGCCAAGTTTCTCCAATGGTGCTTCACTCTGTCGTCTTTGCTTCATCCCATGGGAAGTGTAAAACAGTATTTAAAATAATTTTTGACTGAAAGACATTTTTCTTTTAACACACTTAAAAGGGCTGTCTTTTACAGCCCTTATGTTTAAGTGGGTTTCATCTCCCAATACATAAACAGTTACCCATAATTAAGTTCAACGAAAAGCAATATAGTATACGAACAACAACAACAAAATACTTGAGAAGCATCAGACTGAGACCCAGGTGCAACATCTTCGCCATTTATTAGATGCATGACCTTAAATAAGTTACTTAACCTGTCCTGTCTCATCTGCAATATAAGGATTAAGGCATCGTGAAGGTGTGTTATAAGGATTTGCTGTGAAATGGATTAATGGATTAATTAAGAGAGAGCACAACCTCAATTAAACTCATTCCAGGAAATCACTGGCACCCTGGGAGTAGAGTACACCCTATGGGAAAGCAAACCAAATGTGTTAGATCAGTGCTTCTCAAACATTAACGTGCATTAGAATCCCATGGGGATCTCGTTAAACTAAAGATTATGATTCAGCAGTGATACGGTTTGGCTGTGTCCCCACGAAATCTCAACTTGAATTCTCCCAGAATTCCCCTGTGTTGTGGGAGGGACCCGGGGAGGTAATTGAATCATGAGGGGCCGGTCTTTCCCGTGCTAGTCTTGGGATGGTAAATAAGTCTCATGAGATCTGATGCGTTTATCAGGGGTTTCCGTGTTTGCTTCTCTCTCATATCTCTTGCCCCTTGCTGCCATGTAAGGAGAGTCTTTCACCTCCTGCCATGATTCTGAGGCCTCTCAGCCATATAGAACTGTAAGTCTAATTAAATCTTATTTTGTTTCCAGTTTGGGGTATGTCTTTGTCAGGAGCGTGGAAACAAACTAATACAAGCAGTTAGGTCCTGAGATTCTGAATTTCCAACAAGCTCTGTCTATGCTGCTGGTCTATGGAGTAAACTGGGATAGCAAGGTATTAGAGGCATCAGCATTTTAAAAACAAGGAAATTACTTGTATCTTTCCCCTCAGAGCTTATCTTTTTGAGTTTTATTTTGTTTGTTTTGTTTTGTTTTGTTTGACGGAGTCTTACTCTGTCGCCAGGCTGGAGTGCAGTTGCGCGATCTTGGCTCAAGGCAACCTCCGCCTCCCAGGTTCAGGTGATTCTCTTGCTTCAGCCTCCTGAGTAGCTGGAACTACAGGGGCGCGCCACCATGCCCAACTAATTTTTTGTGTTTTAATAGAGATGGAATATCACCGTGTTAGCCAGGATGGTCTCGATTTCCTGATCATGATCTGCCGGCCTCGGCCACCCAAAGTTCTGGGATTACAGGCGTGAGCCACCGTGTCTGGCCTGCCTTTTTGAGATATAAACAAGGAAAGAAGCCAGATGGATTCCCATAGAAACCCTAGATAAACAGTAGCCAAGATGGTGGTAGAAAGAAAGAATGCCTGAAAATGGTCCTGGGGCTCCTTGGGCTATTTGATTAGTCTCCAGTAGCAATAGGAGGTAGTAAGAATCCAGGTCAACAGGTCAAAAACAGAAACACGATAAAAAGTGTGAAAACTCTTCTCAGCCCCATCCTCAGCTCTTTTCTGCCCTTCCTCCTCCCATCATCTCTGCTTTTTTTTCTACCCAACACCACTAGCCAGAGGACAATATATTTCCAATCCAGTTTTTGTGTGCATATATTTTAGTCAGAACTATTGTTTTATTTCCAATAAAAACCAAGGCACTTCAATTATTTTTCTGTTTTACAGTTTCATTTATTTCACCAGTAAATTTTACAGTCAACAGTACTATCTACAATGTTTACTACTACTTGGTTTATTATTTTGTTAGTTTTATTGAACCCCAATAATTCTACTGGATTTTTTTTGAGACAGGGTCTCACTCTGTTGCCCAGGCTGGAGTGCAATGGTGCCATCTTGGCTCAATGCAACCTCCACCTCCTAGGCTCAAGAGATCCTCCCACCTCAGCCTACAAAGTAGCTGAGACTACAGGTGCACACCACAATGCCCAGCTAATTCTTGCATTATTTAGAGATGAGGTTTCACCATGTTGCCCAGGATGGTCTTGAACAAGCAATCCACCTGCCTCAGTCTCCCAAAGTGCTGAATTTACAGGCATGAGCCACTGCCCCCACCTTAGATTTTTTGATGTCTATCCATCTTAATATAAATGATCAATTTAACAATAGAATGCCTGACAGGAAAATGAAAGTCTCCTTTTATTCTACTAGGATAAGAACCAGATTCTTTTTGATAGACCTTTATCCAGTCTTACCCCATGATGAGATTCTCAATAATATTTTGCCTTCTGTTTAAACACCTCCACTCAGAATGGCTCACTCTCTATTGAAGAGAGCCATTTATCAAAGAGTCATCTACCACCACCATCTACCCGATTCAGACTTTTAGCACTGTCATATCTAGTCACTTTGGGAATAGTGATAGGAAGCAAGATAGGAAACAAGCTCCACCAGATACCCCAACTTTTTTGCTACAGTGTTGAGCTTATCAAAGTGGGGCACCACTTCTCCTTGAGATACTTAACAGAGTGCTGAATGAATAAGAAGGCACAGGAGGAAAAAGTCTCTGTAGAACCAATGATTTTACTAGGAGACTTGGGAACATTTTAAATTAAAAAGTGAGCATGGATACATTATAAGATAGAATGAAAAATTCACATGATATATAAACATTAAATTGGAGACCCTAAAGAAATCACCATAGGCAGATTAGAACTACAGCTCTCAGATTTCCCCAAATTTCTATCCATTCACTCTAATATTCATTTATTCTACTTTCTCTTTATAGCTTAAGCAAATAAAATATGTTGAAACCCCATTCTGAAACATTCCCACTGCCCCAGTTATTTGTAGCATACCTTGACTCCAGCCATTCCCTGATTCTTTCCACGCTATGCTTATTTTAAATAGATCATTTAATCCACTACATTTAAAAATAATTTTAGCATCTCTAAGGACAGTTGAAATTGGTTTTAAAAAAGGCATTTTCATTTAAAGGCATTAAGCTAAAATTGTTTCCAAAATGTCTTGGCTTATAGGTTTCAATGATTACAGAAATAAAATGGTGGAAAATAAATATTTTCCTTTTCTAAAAGCTGCTAAAAGACATCAAATTGGGCCTAAGGAGGACACGGAAGTGAAGTAAAACAGAAATATAAAAAAAGTAATGACAGAATGTGGTATACAGAGAGATGGAAATAGAAAAACTGAATAAGGAAGAAGACATAGAAAAACTAATCTTTGTGCTATTCAATCTATAAAGACCTAAAAAAGTGAGGTAAAAATACATATATAGAGAGAAATAGCATGAACAAAAAATAAAAACAGAGTTAGAAGGTAAGATACAGAGGAATGGGAAATAAAAATAACTTGCTACATTAAAAAATAGAAAATGCTAAAGCGTATTGCAGGCTCGAAGAGTATAGGACAATGTCTCTGTAGGTTTGCATTTTATGAAGCAGTTTTTGAGTCCTGCTGGATGCCTTAAAAAAGAATATAAAAGAGCTATATTTTCTGAAAGTAAAACATCAGCAAAACTTTCTTATATGTTTTGCTTATATGTTTCTTATATAGAATAGAATAGTTAGTATTTTGCATTATGTTTATGAAAAATGAATATTTTCTTGAAAAATATGCCTTTGAAGACCTTTTTCACTACCAAAGAACTATGTACCTGTGTTCATTTTTATAGCAAGGTTTTTCCCAAGTCACCAAATGATGTTATTTATTTCACTAGATGACAGGAGATGGAAAATTAGTTAAAGACAACATTCAAAATAAAACCTATATGGTTGGTTTATAAGGAGAAGCATAAAGCATTCAACTAACTTAACTTTCAACTCACATTCAAAATTATGAATAGACATTATAAAACTTTATCCAATAAATTCTGAATGTATAAATCTATGTTTATTTATAGCTTCCACACTAAGTCAATTTAAGAAGAAACAATGGGAAAAATTAAAAAAGAATAATGGAAAGGGAAGAAGTGAAGAGAGAGTTGAAAGATGGGAAAGGAATAAGCAAAGGAGAATGATAAGAGGCAGGAAACAAAAAGAAGGAAGAGCATACATAAGGGAGAAACATATAAAAGACAGAAAAGATGTATACTGAGATACTCAGAAGAGAATATTTTTAAAAATAGGAGAAGGTCGGGCATGGTAGCTCATGCCTGTAATCCCAGCACTTTGGGAGACCAAAGATGGTGGATCATGAGGTCAGGAGTTCAAGACTAGCCTGACCAAGATGGTGAAACCCCATCTTTACTAAAAATACAAAAATTATCCAGGCATGGTGGTGGGCATCTGTAATCCCAGCTACTTGGGAGGCTGAGGCAGAGAATTGCTTGAACCCGGGAGGCTGAGTTTGCAGTGAGCTGCGATGTGCCACTACGCTCCAGACTGG